ATTCGTATTGTTTTGGATTACACAAATGGAGGTTTATTGAAGGTGACCAAATTTTTGTACATGGTATTGCGGCGACTCCAACTCCTTTGTTGAAAGGCTTATGCGAGTACGCTAAAGCAAACAACTTAAAAAAACTAACCCTTCATCATCTTCATCTGGAGGGACCGGCGCCGTGGATTCAGCCAGAATATAAAAACCTTATTCGGTCTAACTCTTTATTCACTGGCGCAAACCTTCGGAAAGCTGTGAATGATGGTACGGCTGATTTCAACTCAACTTTCTTGCATGAAGTACCACTGCTGTTCCGGACTGGTGCGATTAAACTAAATGTGGCGCTTATTCATGTGTGTTTATTTCCTTAATATTATTACATTTTTTATTTTGTTTTTCGTGTTATTTTTCTTATTTATAATACTGCAGAAGGTGCGAAAGAAACTTTGTTAACTAAAGGTAACAAATGCGTTTCAGGTATCACCACCTGACAAATATGGATACTGTTCTTTGGGAACTAGTGTTGATACGGCTAGAGCAGCAGTTACTCAGGCTGATCATATAATTGGTAAATTATGAGATAATCTTGTTTGTTTGTTTTGAAGTTGCTGCGGTAACATTTTGCGAACGTTAGTGTTCTCTCCATGTTTTTTAGCCATGTCAAATGACCAAATGCCTCGAACTTTCGGCGACTCTGTAATTCATCAGTCACACATAGATGTAATGGTTGAATGCAATGGTCATAAATTGCATGAACGTCCTCCGTCAGGTCCGGCTGCACCAGAAGAAAAAAAGATTGGTGAACTGATTGCTAACAACTTGGTTGAAGACGGGGCTACTCTGCAAATGGGTATGAAAGTTTATTTTTTGCGTGTCGCTGTCGCCAGTGAAAGTTTTTATCGCTTTTATGATGTTGCTGGGAAACTATAACTTATGTTGTTTGAATGCGTCGTAGAGTAGTATGACCGGTGGAAATTCATTAGTTGAGGAACATTTTAGTGGAAGTTTTGGAAGCTTACTGAGTTACAGAAAGCCCAGTACTTTTTATTAAAATAGTGGTTTTCTAAGTAAGTTTGGAATTTTGTTTTTGCTAATTGCGTCACATAAATTTTGAGCCCCAATGTTAGTTTTAGCTATTTTTTGGTGAAGCAACAGAAAGTTTTTGAGTACACAAGCAAGATCCTTCAGAAAAGTGAGGTCATTGCATCCTAAAAGAAAATGGTTAGTAACAGTACCTAACTATGAAATTTTTTATCATTTAAAAGCAGTTATGATTTGGTGAGGTATTATATAGTCAAGCAGTCACTGGAGTAATAAGGTTTTGTGAACTTTTTTCTTGGATTTTTAAGGCAGGTTATTTGTTTTGTAAAAAATATGTATTTGATTACAACTACAACTGATTATTGTTAGTAATTTGTGGTCGTCTGGTAGAGCATTTTTAGTAGTTTAAAAGCCGTCTGTTTATTTTTTTCTTTCAGGTATCGGTGCGATTCCAGATGCTGCTTTGGCTGCTATGCACCATCACAAAGATCTCGGTGTTCACACTGAAATGTTTTCTGATGGTGTTCTTGATCTGGTTGAATGCAATGCCATTACTAACGCTAAAAAACCCCTTCATCCTGGAAAGGTATGCATTTTCCGCCGTTGCACTCACTTTAAAACTGTTATAACTTTTTTTCTTCGCTACTTTTTTTTTATTCTACACTCATTTTAGAATTTAGTGTTTTCAGTTTCACTGGTTCTTTTTTTTAGATGGTGGTTTCATTTGTTTATGGGTCTAAAAAACTTTATGATTTTCTGAATGATAATCCAAGTGTTTTCTTCGGCGATGTTGCTTGGGTCAATGATCCATCAATTGTTCGAACAATGCCAAAGATGGCTGCTATCAACTCGGCAGTTGAGGTTGATCTCACTGGACAAGGTATGTTTTGAGGTTGCTGTGATATTATTGGAACTGTAAGATTAACGTCTCATCAGGAGGATGTTTTTAGTTGTCTCTGACTCTGTTGGCTCTCGATTTCTTTCTGGCTTTGGAGGTCAGGTAGATTTTATTCGTGGTGCGGCTATTGGTGATGATGGGAAAGGGAAACCTATTATTGCTTTGCCTTCAGTAACAAAGAAAGGAGTCTCAAAGATTGTGCCATATATAAACGAGGTCCTGTTTTTCCTTTTGTTGCAGGCTTCAGTTTACGGTTTGGTGGTGCTGAGTTTAAACTGTGGCTGTTTTGTAGGGCGCAGGAGTTGTGACATCTCGTGCCCATGTACATTATGTAGTCACTGAATATGGTATTGCACAGTTGTGGGGTAAAAACATGCGCCAGCGGGCCTACGAACTAATTAAAATTGCTCACCCAGACAAAAGGGCTGAGTTGGAGAAAGCCGCTTTTGAAAGGTTGAAAGTGATGCCATCGGCTGATTAAGGCAGTGTGATATCTGTTTGAGGCAGTTTTTAGCTAGTTTTGAAGAAGCGAATTTTGGCTACAGATGGATTCAAAATTTTATTGTAAAGAACTGTAAAACATGGCATTTTGGTTCAACGTAACTTATGAAGTGTTCTTTTACGGTATATTTTTGATGATCAAACTCCGCCTTTGTATACTTTCTCTCTCTGCGTTTTTATTACGTTCATTTGAGGATGTGATTGCAGTGTATCCTTAGTGAAAAATCTCATTTCGTTCTGTAGCCCTTTGTCCTTTGTAATGATTACTTCTTCGCAGTTCTGTCACGGCTGCCCACGTTGCGGTCAGTATTGTCTTTTCAGTTTATTCCAACAGATACTTCATTTTGCTGTTGGTATTAACTGTGAGCTATTTAATTTTTGGTTCTCTTGGCGGTTTCTCGATATCGCTAAAGTTTTTTGTAATTTATTTCTTCCTGTTGCGGTGAATTCTTCGATTTGTTTCTAGAATATTGCGATATGGTAGCACTAAATTGTTGTTTCTAATAGTCACAGGGATATTGAAATTTGTCGGACTCAAAGGTGAGGTTTGAAGTTTACTTTTGTTTGTTCTGGAAGTGGGTGTCTGTTCCCAAAGGATATGCTGTAAATAGATTTGTTTGTGTGATTTTGTGGTAACATTGATTTCTTACGTGATTAACGAGGAAGTAAAATCTATGTGAGTTGCCGGTCGCTGCATGTTTGTAACGTTAATCAGATGAAACAATTTGATTATAATGCGGGGATTAACGGTGCTACTCAGAAGAGAATGCGTGGTATCTTAATGACGGAATTTAGTGTATATGTGGTTGGGAGGTTTTTATAGTTGTGTTCGTCTGTTTGAGTTAGGTACGGCTCATCTTGGTGGGGAAATTATTCTGTTTGTACCAGCTTAGTTCTGACGTTTTCATCTTGCTGGTAGGCTATTTGAAGTAGAGGAAGCAGTCGAGAAGGTGGGTGCATAAATTGGCGTGTGGGCATGTTTATTATCTGCATGTGTTAGGTGGGGTGGCAAGGTTACGAAGATTTTTCTTTTAAAGTTTGATTTTTTATTTACATTTTTTGATTCAATGATATTGTGTAAAATTTAATTTTTCCTGAACACAGTTCAGGTAGATGTCAAATATTTCGTGGGGAAGAGGTTATACATTTTTACACTTATTATGATGGAGTGAGCGAAAAAAAAAACGATACTGAGTATAGTTTGGTAGCGTTAGCGGAAGCCATAAAAAAATTGGTGATGACTAAAGTCACTAGGTGATTACGACGTCTTAAAAACTTCGTTTGCCGTACATGCCAGGACGTAACTTTGCTCGACTGAATGGGTACCATTTTTATTTGTAGCAACCGCCTTGTAAATGCCTTGGTCTTGCAGGGTAGGATTCTGAAAATAAACCTACTTGATATTTAAAGAAAATATTAATTGGTTTTAAATTTTCTGAAGAGATCTGTTTGAAGAAGCGAAGCATTCATATATAAAATTAATTGATATTGGTGTGAAGCTGTTCTTAATTATTTCAGACTCATAAATATTGCACAGTTCTGTGGCAGATAAAAAAGTGAATAATCTGATTTTCAAAACATTGTAAGTTTCTTTTCTTATGGGATTTTGAAGGAACCACATCGACTAATTGACAGCACGAGATCTAGGCACATTCCATTCTTAAAGTGATTGTCAGCAGTCTCGCAGGGCTCCAGACTAATTCGTCCAAAAGTCGGGTGTTGAACCTGACATTCGTCGTGCTATTGTTTTTTTCGCAGTGATCATCTTTATTTGGTCCGTGGCCTGAGGCCCATTGGGCAGAAAGTCGAAGTGCTTTCCATGTGCAAAACCGTGTCTAAGTATATTAGTTCAAAACTTAGTGCAGATGTGTACACAGCAGAGTCATACCAGAGCGGATTATAATGCTTGACAAAAACAGTAAGTCATGAGTAAGGATCCCTTTTAAGGCTTATACTGCCATGGCTGTTTCAGGTTTTTGAATAAGGCAAGGCTTAAATTAAGGCGGTAATTAACTGTTTTAACTCAAATGCGATAATGGGTTGTATAAGTCCACTTCTTTCCCATATATCTCAAAAGAAAATTTGCGCTATGCACATCCAGACTTCCTTGTCAGGCAACTAATAGTCCATTGCTTTGGTAGTGTTCCTTTGCAAAAACATTATTTTCTGGCCAAAAAGTTTTTAACTTCGGACTGTTCGTTACTAGATAGCAGATTGTATCCATTTCATTTCAGTTACCTCAACGGTGAAGAATTTTATATATTGCTGGGAATGATCATCAGTGTTAAACTGAAAAATGGTTGGTGTGCGTTTCATCGGAGAACGACTTTTGGTTTCTGACAGTGCCATCATTATAGTATTTATCAGCGCATTTCGAAAGTTACAGCCTGTTAGGTAAGCCTTAAGTCTTTTAGAGAGATAGTTTTTTAAGAGGGCTGGTATACAGTTGTTTATAAAAGGCGTTAGAGGCCCCGTGGTCATGAAGAAATCTACTTCTCTTTTCCGGTTATGTGTGTTCCTGGTCAAGTTCTACAGTAAGCGCCAAATTCTGGCGCACCAAGGTGCGGTGAACCTACACCAAATGCAGTACTAGAAGACGCTTTTCTTTTTCATATTCTTCCATCAGCATAAAAGCTACCCCTGTCAGTTGGTTTAGTACCCAGTTGTTTAACGAATGCTGGGAATAAAAATTTGGTCTTAAAGAGTTGTCTCAGGCCGGCTTTTGCTACTGGTCTCCTTAGTCTACCTCTTATGTCGTCACGGAGAAATCTTCCATGAGAAGTTGCGAAAAAGTGCCATCCTATTGCGATCCAAAGTTTACAAAGCGGAAAACGAGATTCGCAAAGTACTTTTGGTTTTTGTACTCTTATACAGCTCCGTCAAAATAATAAATATTTTTTTTATATTCCATTTTCCCTTCAGAAATCTTGGCATTTGTAGTCAAGTTTCTAGTTTTTGCAGGACCTCCACAAAAACCTTTACTTATGGAAAAAGACAGAAATTCCACTGTTTTGCACCGTGCATCGCTAGAAGGACAGTATCAAGACATCATTCACTGTCAAGAACCAGCGTTAAATTCCAAATGTTGGGATCAGAAAAGTTCAATACAGAACCAGAACGATGCGAATTGGAAACTAATCATCACGATCATTCTTCACAAAAAAATTTTTAAAATTACTCAAAGGCAAAAAACTTTAATCACATGCCTGTTACTGAACCACTGGATATAAATATGGCCATTCCATGCCAAAACGCACACTTTTTTCCTTATATGTCTCAGATTTTCTTTGAATTTTGCTGATTAGTAGTGTCTAGGCCCGTACACAGGGAGCGGGAAAAAAACCTGGGAAGGTGAATTCCTCGCCAAGTTACGCTCCCTCAAAGCTGCAAAATTTGCCGACTTGTCGCTTGACCTGCCTACTTTTGTAGACTTGTTACTTAGATTGTTTTTAATAGAATTTAACGATTTTTTTGTTTCACAAATTTCTCATTTCCTGAACTTTTAAGACATATTAAATACTATAATTCTGTTAAAAAAACACAAATACAGCAAAAATAAGATTTTAAACGAACATTTGAAAAAAAAAACATCCTTAAATTTTTTGAAAAAGACATTCTGTGTAGAATTTTTTGCTCTACGACATCAGAATCTGGATGGCGATTTTTAGGTATTGACAGCTACAAGCCGGAATGGGATGCAAAGCTGAAAAAAACCAAAACTTTTGCAGGAAACCTAAGCATTTTACATGATGAAACAGTCCTGAGCCGCTTCTGAAAGCCGCAGACAGCTGTCATAAAAATCCGGCATAGTTTAAACGCTATAAATTTGCTGCAAAAGTTCTACTTTACTTGGGTAACATTAACAAATTATTATTCTGCAAAGGTGTAAGAGGTAGGCTGCACTTTAGCGTTTTCTACATCTTGTATTTCATGGTTCCTGAGCTCCTGGAATTGTCTCTGTCTTTTACTTGTAAAAGTTCTCGTTAGGTCAACTTGTTTCTCTTTGAAATTATGTGTCGAATTTGTAAAAAAGCTTTAAGAAAACCCCAATTCAACAGCCACTTAGGTAAAGCAGTGAGTTCTTAGATTTCTTTGCGACGCTAAAATGTATACTAGCTACATAACCTTAACATAATGAAGCACGGCAAACAGAAAACGCTAGAGTGAAGGCTTCCTCTTACAACTTCGCAGGATAATAATTTATTAAAAATGTAGCCGTCCGCTGCGGCCCTCAGAAGCAGTTCGGGACGGTTTTTCCCAGTTCTACACTCCATTTCGACTCGTAGCTCCCAATAC